ATATATACTCAAATTTTTGATACTTTTTGATATATTACTTAGGGTGAGTCTTTCTTTTCGTAAAGAAATGCGTCCGCTACCTTTCTTAATTGTTTTTAAAAATAAGATAAGAACTAGTAAAGCTGAAATTGCGAACTATATCTGAAGGTATCTTAAGTGATAACTCAATATTCATGTTTTAATTGAATATGGAATGGCAATTGCTACGTTAAACTTTGTACTTATTTCTGCTTGCAAAAAGTAGTAATAGTTTTAATATATACTCAAATTTTTGATACTTTTTGATATATTACTTAGGGTGAGTCTTTCTTTTCGTAAAGAAATGCGTCCGCTACCTTTCTTAATTGTTTTTAAAAATAAGATAAGAACTAGTAAAGCTGAAATTGCGAACTATATCTGAAGGTATCTTAAGTGATAACTCAATATTCATGTTTTAATTGAGTGGCAGGACAATTGCTACGTTAAATTTTGTACTTACTTCTACTTGCCAGAAATATTTCGATTGCAGTATTTTGTAGAAGGTATCTTCTTGAAAAGACCGCTCGTATTTCAGAAAAATACCACTTTCCATGAAGATGATCGCAATACTTTAATACCTGTAAATAAAACCCATTGTCAAAATAATTTCCGTATAAACAAATAGCGACGTTTTTAAGCAGACTACGTTAGATTAAGAGTTTATTGAAACTACCAAATGAAGATTGCAATGCCAAAGGATACTGTTAGTTCCTTAAGGCAAACGGCCCTCTGTTAAACTCTTTGAAACGTTGGATTCTGGTACTGGGACCTGTAATCAGACACCAGCACAGAATATACAATACCAAAGTTTCATTAGATACAACTACATTTTTAGTTATCGTATTATTGTATTGGTGTCTCATTACATCTATGAGTAAATAAGATAAACATTTACTTTTCTTATGTTTCCAAAAGCTAAATTAAACTTTTACTTCTCTAGAAACTTAATGATTTTTCTAATTTGTGATTTAATGAAAAATTAATCTGTTTCTTTCTCAGTTTCCAAAACTTTGAAGAAAAGCAACTATCAGAGAAACGGTCATTTTCATTTGAATCTTGGTGCCTAATTGTTTTCGCATCTGTTTAGTTTTCAATATGTTTTTTTTGTCTCCCCAAAGCTTAAAGGATAATAATCGTGGTAGTCGCTAGGATAACGCCCGCATGTCTGAGCGCGTTGCCTGTCACGCGACGGCGCGACAGTTTCCGCGGTGATCGATGAACAAAGTCGCACCGCTCCGCGACCAAGTGCGCGGATTTCGCGTGATCGCGAACGGCAGCGTGTATGCGTGTGTGGCGCTCCTCCCACAAGCACAACGCAACCGCAACAATTTATCGTGTACGGGGGCCATCTTGGTTTTTCTTATACACGAAGGATACCTCCGTACCTACAATATAATTTATATATTTTATTATATCATAATCATAATCTAAATAAACTTTACTTTTCTGATACTTGGTATTACCAAACGCTATTTTCAAAGTTAGCAGGTATTTCCCGATGTAGGAAAACAAGAACTTATCCAGGACTGCGCAAATTATCCGATAATCGACGAAGATAGAAAAAATGTTAATTAAATTTTCTTTTCTGTTTCCTTGAAGGGAAATAGTTCCCTGTTCAGTAAGTCTTATTAAAAACTGAGCTTATCTTTAAATTTTCCCATAAGAATTAAATAGTTTATAATATACAATTAAAGATTGACCGGGTACCCGGCTTGAATCGGGATTGGGACAGGTCGTTTATCCTAATTTGTATTATATATTGATTACTATTCTTAATTATTTGTTATTTCGGTATGGTTCTTTCTATCGTTGCAACGGTTTCAACCTTCTCGTTGAAAATCCGCCAACCAAGAATTAAAATTTTATTGTTTTAGTGTTTTAACGACTTTTGAATAGGACTTAATCTGGTTTAGGACTTTAATGAGGGTGGTATTTAACAGAAAGCTCGCCAGAACGAAAGCATGAACCATTAGCCGTGGTGGATAACTGGGTACGCCAACGAATTGCCACCGGTAGCGATCAATTTTCCAATCTTCCATTTTTGATTCTTCACAAGATTATTGTTACTACTGTAATATTGGCATGATTATTATTGTTGCTACATATACTTCACGAATGTTTAGAAATGCCTCCCTAATATATATAACTGAGAATCATCCGATTTTTTTATCTGTCATCATTAGAACATACGCTATATTAGGTTTCAACCAATACCAACGAATAAGTACGCAAAGATTGGAACTTTTTAAGGGGAGATATGGAAAAAGATTACAGGGGGTATACAAATCGGCTTTGTTTTGTGGGGTGGTTTATTGAGTGCGCCGCAACAACACAAAAACATCGCCCTCTCTTTGTTACCGAACACTCTTTATATGTCAATCAATTTTGATTATGTTCAACGTCGTCACCAAAGAGCGAATCGTGTAATAATATTTGGAGCATATTTTATGTTTAAATATACAACATAAAGTTAAAACACACTTAAAATCAAAATTGTAAAAAGCTCGAACAAAACAAACGGAATTTTTCACATTAAAAAAGATAAATGCGTTTTGGCCAGTGTGCAGCCATTTGCGAGAATGTACAAAAGGTCAGTAAAAAATTTAATCAATATGAGCTTTTAATACTTGTTAGGTATATTACATAGCAAAATATTTTTGTGGATAACCAAACAGGTAGGTTTTAGTAACTCTATTTATCTCCAAATCAGGATTTGGATAAATTTAGAAGATTGGAGAACTTTGGTGGTGTTGTAGAACACTAAAAAGCTCAAATCCCAATATCAAAACATGACACTGAGTGTCCGAAGTACTTTTCGGTAACAAAGTTACCTTCATATAAAAGACTGCAAGGGACATTCTACATCAATCTTTAGTTGAATTTAAAAAGGATTAAAGCTCAATTAAACAACTTTCAACGCTGTAAATAATGACCAAATCCCATCTTTAAGATTGAGGGTTCTCTTCTCTAATCATAAACTTTTAATTCCTGAAACGTCTACGATCCAAATCCTAAAACACTAAAAATCTCAAATCCCAACGCCAAGACACGACACTAAGCGTCCGAGGTACATTCAGTCAACAAAGCTACCTCCTTCAGGGACTGTAAGGACTCGGAACTTCCTACATCCACCTTTAATTGAATTTGAAAAAGATTAAATCTCAATTAAACAACAGCTATTAACGCTGTAAATATATAATAACCAAACCCCGTCTTTAAGATTAATCTAATCCTGAGCTTTTACTTCCTAAAAGGTCTACGAACATAATCCTAGAACACCAAAAAGTTCAAATCCCAACGTCAAAACACAACCCCGAGCTTTCGAAGTTACTTTCTTCAGGGACTGCAGAGAATTCAGAGCTTCAGTCCGTGAAGGAGATAACTTTGTTTTCGAAAACTTCTTCGGAGGTTCAGTATCGTCTTTTGACGTTGGGGTTTGAGCTTTTTAGAGTTCTAGGATTTGGATCGTAGACGTTTCAGGAAGTAAAAGCTTAAGACAAGAGACGATGGGGTTTTGTCATTATTTACAGCGTTGAAGAGTGTTGTTTAATTGAGCTTTAATCCTTTTCAAATTCAATTAATGGCTTATGTAGAAAGGATAAAGAACCAATTTTATTATATTTATTGAAGACGATTACGTTGAGAATTATTTATTTTTGTTTTGTAGCATTGGTCGAATTTTATTTTTTTTTAAGGACGCGTTTTTTTTTTTAAAGGTCTGTCTGTGCGTTTGTAGGCAGGCAGGCAAACCGTAGTATAAAACTACGAAAGGTATACCTACGTATTACAGCATCGAATGCAAGATTTTTATCGGAAATTTACAACCGGTCCTACCGATTCACGGCGGGAATTCTGAGAAATGACACTTTTAATTCCTGAGCGTTGTTTCAGTGGTCATCGAGATGAAATGTGAACAAAAAAACGTCACCAATAAATATTTATTTGACTGCAGAGCCCATAAAACTAGTCAGCTTGTTAATTATATCCAACGAGTAAACACACGCTTATCTTTACGAACACAATGTCTAGATACAAGTTGTGTTAGACCCATATAGCTGGTGTCCCAACTGACCAATTAAATAAGTAAATAACAATCCATTAATTTAATTTAATAATTTCAGCGTTACTTCACTCATACTTTATAAAAACTGTACAGTTATATTCAACGTGTTCTAAAATTAAGATAGTAGCAGCTAGGAACACTTCGATTAGATTACGATTTTAGTTTCGGAAAATGCAATTAGGTACAGTGTAAACTCTTTATAACGTCACTCGATTTAACGACAAACTCCTTAAAACGTCGAAATTGCTTGACTGGTTGGTTTACATTGTTTTCTATACAATATTACACTCTATATAGCGTCACGCTCACTCTATTTAACGACAACAATGCGGCATTATAAATCATTAAGCAGTACTTTCTAAGTTGCCGAAATAGATAAGAACTGCAGCTGTGTACGTTGTTGAAGAAGACGATCCTGTCCCTCCACCAAGCATCAAACAAGCACTTGATACAGCGAAACTATTAAAAAAATACTTTTTATATAATCAAGTTGATCCAGCAGTATCTCAAGATATGAGTAAGATACGTAACAAAATACAATTAAAATATTGGAGCAGCAAAATACATCAGACGAAGATAACAGGCTATACGCAATGTATGAATAATAATGTTCGTGTGCAAAATGTTTACTATATTGGTAAATGCATATTATTTTAGAATAGCAAAATAATATCTTTTATTTCTCTCGATTTAACGACCACTCTTTATAACGTCGAAAAATGTTCAGTTCCTTAAGTGTCGTTATATAGAGTTTACACTGCATATAATTTTGTGATAAAAGATATCCCACATAAAGTGATTTGCATTAACGACCCTGAAAGAGAAACTATCAGCTTCATTAGTGACAGCAAAGGGTGTAAATTCCCACAATTGTCGTCTTCTACAAAAATGAAATCGATAGGTAGATACTTCTTCTATTTTGTAATTAATATCATTAATAGAACTGATGGTGCCCTACATTACAGTAGTAAGCAGTTGCAAGCTTCTTTTTTTGATTTGCATTTGCATTTCTTATATCCGTATGTCTCTTCTGAATCTCGACCTTCTTAAGCAGTGGCAGCTCGCCGTGAACAAACCAATAATGACTATTCAATATTTCATTTTCGAGCCTAAAAATCTATTGCATTGTTAATGGGCTGACTTTCCCAAAGGATGACTGACCATCATGCACGTCTACATCGATACATCAAAACCTAATTAAACTTTTAATCATTATGTTTTGATGCCACGATGAACTTTTTCTGTACATACAGAGACATATGTGGCAGGACACGACCCTCCACTATTTCCTATCCTGAGCTAATCTTCGCATTTCCCTAAAACTAGAATATCTTTAGCTATATCTGTGTAACAGTAATCTAATATAGGTCTACCTCTACCCCTCTTAACTCCTGCTATTGCTTCTGATTTGTCTCTAACTAGCCCTTCATGCCCGAAAAGGTGTCCTGCCAACTTATTTCGTCTATTACATATTGACATTCTCCTACCACATTGTTTTTAATCTTCTCTATCCAC